CACAAAATCAGCAGAATAGAAATGCTGCTAGGCAGTATTTTGGATAGTTCAATAGTTCAACATAAGTAAAAACGTCAGAAACAATAACTACATTTCTTAATCAAAGACTAGGTTGTCTAGGTAATTGCTACAAAACAGACCACTGGAAACATTTTAGTGAGTACCATACAGGGCAATAAAATTAGTTAATAGCTACATATGTCATTTATGGCTGTTTATCTTCAATCATTATTTTAAATATGAAGTATCAGGATCTATAGATATTAGAGGATACATGAAGGTCTTTGTACCATTTTGTGTTACACAAAAATCAGTTATTTTCCATGGCATGCTGGAAATGTGTTTCACTCTTTTTGTCATTATGTCTACAACCGGTGATGCCCAGTGCCCTGCTGGGAGTGACATTAGTCTAACTTCCTCTCCGAAATGTTTGGCATTCTGTATCATAACGAGCACTCGGCGGGCAAGCCAGTTCACAGGATGTTTTTCAGTTTAAACATATACCAGAGGAAAATTTTAAATGGAGCTATTTGAATTATAAAGAAAAGCAAAATTATTTCAATTTATTAAATTGGGTATGCAGGAGGGAGAAATATACAAGTCTTAGCTTCAACATCTATTAAGCTTACTAAGCGTTAGAAAGCATTTTATAGGCCCTGGCCGGTTTGGCTCAGCGGTTAGAGCGTCGGCCTGCGGTCCTGAGAGACCCGGGTTCGGTTCCCGCTAAGGGCATGTACCTTGGTTGCAGTTTGTCCCCGGCCCTGGTTGGTTGTGCGGGTGGCAGCCACTCGATGTGTTCCTTTCACGTCGATGTTTCTCTCTGTTCCTCTCTCTCCCTCCCACTCTACCTGAACAAAAAATGGAAAAAAATGTCCTCGGGTGAGGATAAAAAAAAAAAAAAGAAAGCATTTTATAGTAGTTTAACTGAACATTTGTACAAAAACCTAAATAAGAATTATTGATGGAGAATCTAAAGGGCAGTTGACATCACTGGTGTCTAGAAGAAGGAAAAATAAGACCAAATCTTGAATACTGGCGGAGAAACCTACTCACCAGTAGGGTCTGTGTTGTTTTCCTTTACTCCATGACTTATTCCTACTGTGGAGCAAGTCAGGAAAAGGAAAGAAGAAAATAGTGTCAGGTTTTCCCTGATTGTTTTACTGAATGAATTAAAATTAATCTTGTTTTAAAACCCTGTTTCGCCCCACCCGGTTTGGTTCAGCCGTTAGAGTGTCAGCCTGTGGTCCAGAGAGACCCGGGTTCAGTTCCTGCTAAGGGCACATACCTTGGTTGCAGTTTGTCCCCAGCCCTGGTTGGGTCCTGCAGGTGGCAACCACTTGATGAGTCCCTTTCACATGGATGTTTCTCTCTCTCTCTCTTCCTCCCACTCTGTCTGAACAAAAAAAAGGAAAAATGTCCTCAGGTGAGGTTAAAAAAAAACAAATAAAACCCTGCTTAAAAAAAAAAAAAAAATCATGTAAAATATTAACAATATAAGATTGGACTTCTAAAAGTAAAATTATGCCATGCTATAGCCCTTCAAGTTACACTTTTAACTGTTTGAAGGGTACTTGTATGGTAGATTTATTATGTGTTCATCCCTTACTGGAGATGTATTGAAAGTGCCTAAGGCAGTACCTGGTACATTGTAGACAGTCAATAAATAGTTGATGAATGGATGAATGTGTGTGAAGGTAGTGTCCTGGTGTGGCAGTATGTCTTATTGTACAATATAAAGATTTTTAAATCAATAGCGAAAAACATATACAAAAGAAAGCATGTACCCATCACCCAACTAGAACAATAACTCATGTCCAATCTTGTTTCAACCACACTACCCATTCTTTTCTCTTCCCACATTACTTTGAATCAAATTTCCGATATATCAGTTCTTTGATAAATATTTCAATATATGTCTCTAAAATATTAGGCCTCTTTTCTTTAAACATTACCACAGATTCTTGTCATACCTAAAATATTAAAATAATCCCTTAATATCATCAATTATCCTGTCAGTCTTCAAATTTTTTTGTCTTTATTGATTTTAGAGAAAGAGGAAGGGAGAGGGAGAGAGAGAGATAGAAACATCCATGAGAGAGAACATCGATTGGCCTTCTCCTGCATTGCATGCCCCCCACTGGGGATTGAGCCAACAACCTGGGCATGTGCTCTGACCTGGAATCGAACTGATGACTTCTTGATGCATGGGTTGATGCTCAACCACTGAGCCACACAGGCTGGGCCAAATTTTAAATTTTTAATCCCCTCCCCCCCACACACACATATTTTCATTTGAATCAGGACTCAGAAAGATGTACATATTGCGATTGTTTGATTTTTTTCTTAAATATTTTTTAATCTTCAGTTTTTCCTATCCTCTTTTTATTTCCCTCCTTATAATTTATTTCTTGAAGAAACTGGGTTGTTCTTTGCAGCATTTCCCAGGCTGGAGTTTGCTGATTGTATCCTCTTAGTGTCACTTACTTAAGTTTCACTTATGTTCCTCTGTCTCCTGTATTTCCTGTAAACTAGTATTGGAGCTAAAGGCTTGATCAGATTCAGATTCAGTTTTCTTCTTGGCAAGTTCAAAAAAGAAGGTAGTGACTGAATCATAATGACAGCATTATTGGCTTTTTGCTTAGTGCCTTGCATATTGATTTAGCTAACATTTGTTGAGTATTTTTTATGTACCTAGAAATACTCTTATATTCTATAGGTATTATGTCATTTAATCATATTTAAGCCTCATAATACTATTACATATCCATTTCTATCTGATTACCAGACCTCTAATTAGGACCAAAAATCTTAAATGTCTTTCAAACAATCCCCTTGGTATATACCCCATTGTCGTTTATGTGATTTTAATTTGGAATTGTCTGAATTTTCTTTTTACTGGATTCATTTAGAGTGTACAAAAATACCTTGCATTAAAAGGCATTTTAATAAAGTTAAAATAATAAAGCTTAATGACTGGTTATTTGACTGTGAATTTGTTGTACTTAAGCTTTTTGGTAATGGGATTCACCATCTGTTAACCTAACAAAGACTGATATCTAAACCATAAAAAGGGCCAACTGAATTCAGTATTTCCTGAGTCTCTTTTTTCTTTGCACTCATTGTCTTCTGCAGGTGCACTTTTATGTCTCTTTCATCTCTTTCTGCTTTCATTGTATGCTCACAGTACTCACAGTATCCTACTATTGCCCAGTGTGAGAAACTGGCTTGTGATTTTAAAAGCAAAACTCGCTTTTTGTTATTTATTTACATACCTTTATTCTGCTCAGTTCTCCCCATAGTCCTAAATTCTGCTTTTTATAAAGCCACTGGGGCTCCAGACTCAAAAAGAAATGTCAAATTATCTTGACCAACTGACACTTCAAGATTAAACTGATAGGTGGTTTGGTGACCCCAAGAAGGACTATACCTGCCAAAAAGGACTCCTTGTGGTTAACAGGGTCCACATTTATAATGGAAGTACAGCAACCATTGGTTATAGAGGCCTCTCAACCACACTGCCTATCACTGAGTTTTGGCTGCCTTAGTAAAGAAGTTCCTGGAATCAAATTTTGACCAATAGAATGAGACCTGCCCTATCCAATTGGAGCAGCACATCTCTGTCCTCGTTTGCATCTTTATTGACCAATCAGAGCACCTCTATAACAATGAGGACTCAAGATTTCAAGCAATCAGAACAGTGCTATTTGAGCCAATCAAACTGCAAATTTGGATTTCTTATTTGCATAAAAAAGGGCCAACCCAGGATCAGGGCAAGCACATTCTCTGTATAAGCCAGCCTCTCCTTTGTGGAGGGGGGCATGTATTTTAGATTTCCACTAGTTGCTGTGTTTCCCTGGTTTGCAAACTGTTTACCTAAATAAAGTTTCTCCTTTTACTGCACCCCAGATGGGGCATTTATTGGAATTAGATTGGTGGCAGCAATCTTTTGTTGACAGGTTGCTGGAGAAAGGGTACCAACCCGGACAAGTTGCAATTAAATATCAGAGTACTGGGAGCAAAACGATGCAAAGAGGATCCTATTATACAACTTTATAAGCTGACATGCAAGGAATAATGTACGCTTTTTAAAAAATCCTCCCCCAAGGATATTTTTCCATTTATCTTCAGATAGAGTGGGAGGGAGGGAGAGAGAGAAACATACACACACACACATCGATGTGAGAGAGACACATCAATTTGTTGCCTCCTGCACGATTCCAACCAGGGCTGGGGACCGAATCACAACTGAGGTCTGTGCCATTGACTGGAATCGAACCCTTGACTCTTTGGTCTGTAGTGATTAGGCAGATGCTCTAACCACTGGCCAGGGAGTAATCTATTCTTTATATGTCTTAACCTTTCTTCTCCAATCATTTCTCTTTTAATAGTTGTAACATTCCCAATTTTCCAGAATATTGATTAGGTGCAGTATTTGATTGGTTAAATAGAAGGAACTTAAGGCCTTGGGGAATACAATAGGGAAATAGAAGAGAATTTCTTATTCTGGTTGTACATCACTATGAGGCATTGGACAACTAGCCAAATTCATTGTTCTTATTTTTTAAAAAACACAATTATTTTTCTCATGATTATCCATAAAGAACGTTAAGATTCTTATTTGAAACAATCTTCTATAAGTTTGTAATAAATAGGAATTGTGTCTCCCTTTACCTGATCTTACAGGGTGCCCTGGGTAGCATGATGCCGTGCTCATGCTTAATAAGTAGCTTTCAATGCTTGGTATTTGAAAAGTTATACATTTTAAAGGGTATTTTGTTCCCCTTTTCATTGGCAAGACCAAGGAGCTTCCTCTTCTAAGACCAGTACTGTTTGAACACAGAGAAAGTACACTTTGTTCTAGGAGATTTGCCATATCAAAGCCTAGAATATATATTGAGTTCTTCCAAGAAGTCGGGAGGGGGGGCGGTAATCATGGTCTAGGACAGTGAATGCTGACTTGGTGCTGAATGAATGATTGTTATGTGCTCTTTTACTCACAGGCTCGCTTCTCATATGTGCGGATGAAATACCTTTTCTTTTCCTGGTTGGCGGTTTTTGTTGGAAGCTGGATTATTTATGTGCAGTACTCTACCTATACAGAACTGTGCAGAGGAAAGGACTGTAAGAAGATAATAGTAAGTGTTTTCTATTTCCTGAGCCTAACCGGCCAGGGCTGAGTGGTTACTCTTAACCCAGGCCATTGGTGCTAGGTGCATGCATGTAGCAGGGGACAAGACATCCTGACCTTACAGATTTATAGGAGGGGCCCTGGCTGGTGTGGCTCAGTTGGTTGGGTGTCATCCTGTGCACTGAAAGGTCGCCTGTTCGGTTCTGGGCTCGATTCCCAGTAGGGGGCATGCAGGAGACAACCGATCAATTATGCTGTCACATCAATGTTTCTCTCTCTCTCCCTTTCCCTTCCTCTTCCTCTGTGTCTAAAAATAAAAAATAAAAATCTTAAAAAACACTAATAGGAGGAAAGAAAATGAATAATTATAGTAAGGTAAGATAAATATTACAATAGCAGGTGTTATAGGAACATAAAACAGAGAGATCCGAACTTTCTAAAATTCTAAGAAAATAAAAATCAATTTAACTCTAGGTACTCTATCAGTCAAGATTTTAAAAAAATTATTCCTCAGGAGTATTACAGCTTCTTAACTAGTCAAGGGAGGAATTACGACTATAAGAAGTATAAGAAGCAGTGGAGGCCTTGCCGGGTAGTTCAGTTGGTTAGAGCATGGTCCCAATATGCCAAAGTTGTGGTTTGATTCTCGGTCAGGGCACACACAAGAATCAACCATTGAATGCATAAGTGGATGGAACAACAGATTGATGTCTCTCTCTCTCAAATCAATCAATCAATTTTTTTTTTTTAAGCAGGGGGCCCTGGCCTGTTTGGCTAAGAGGTTAGAGTGCTGGCCCGTGAACCAGTGAGTCTTGGCTTTGATTCCGGCCAAGGGCATGTACCTTGGTTGCGGTTCATCCTTGGCCCTGGTCAGGGTTGTGAGGGAGGCAACCAGTCAATGTGTCCCTTTCATGTCGATTTTTCTCTCTATCCCTTTCTCTCCCTCTCTCTTCCTCCCATTCTATCTAAAGATAAATAGAAAAATATCCTCAGGTGAAGATTAAAAAATAAATGAAATAAAATAAAAACAGGGGAACTTGGCTAAGTGTGGCTCAGTAGATTGAATATCAGCCTATGGACTGAGAGGTCCTGGTTTGATTCCTGGTCAGGGCATGTGCTTGGGTTGTGGGCTTGATCCCCAGTAGGGGGCGTGCAGGAGGTAGCCGATCAATGTATTTCTTTCACATCAATGTTTCTATCTCTTTCTTTCTTCCTCTCTCTAAAAAAGTCAATCAAAACAAACAAACACACACACACCTCCTTAACTACTTTAAAGAAAGAAAGAAAGAAAAAAAAGCAGAGGAATTAATTAGCAAAGAAAAGTCCCAAATCAGGGTTCAAAGATATCAATTTTATGTTTATTCCAATTGATCATTCCAGATCCTTGAGGAATTTTAACATAGGAAGAACCTCTGGGGTTAGGCAATGTACTGGGTACTTCACATGGTCATTAATACTTAACATAAAACTATGAAAGCCCTCTCCCAAGCCCATTTTACAAATAAAGAAATGTGACTCAGAGGGAGAAGAATTTGCCTGTGATGGTGGAGCCAGAATTTGATCCTAATTCTGTTTCTGCATAAAGCTCATATTCTTTCTGCTATACTATGTCAGGCAAGACTGGTAAAGAGAGTTCAAGTTTAATAAAGCCAACAAAACCCTACAAAACTCACCTTCAATGAAGAAGAAAGAAGCAGAAGTTATATTATCAACTATAAAAACATATACATAACCAAAACCATATGAAATTTTTATTTCCCTTCTTTAGGCCACCTTTCTCAAACTAGGTGCCTGGGGGTGCATTACAAGGTATTTCATGGGTAGAATATTTCCATCAGATATATTTGAAAATGGAGGGTTAAACAAAGGTAAATAGCTGACTTTACTGAGGACTTCTCATGATCTTTAATATACTTATGTACATTGTGCATCTCTAGAAAAAAGCAAATATACTTGATTAGGAAAAAAATCCATCCCCACCACAACCCTCTCAGGAAGACCTAGTAACATCATCTGGTGATGTTAGAACTACTGTTCTAACAAATTGAGCCAAAATGAAATAAATATGTTTTTATCTCTACATTAATACAATAACCTTCAAAATGTAAGGCATATGTTGGTACAGGTTGTTGTGAGTAAAGTACCTCATTATTCTTCCTTAATTTTATTTTAATTGATAAGGAACAGAAGCAGAATATAATTGTAGCATAATTTAATGTTTATCTTACTAAAAGTTGAAAATGATGAAAAGTTGTCTGAGCCTGAAACATCTTTTTTTCTAGGGCTGCTCTAAAAAAAATAATAATAATCTCTCTGCATTTGGGAATTATGTTTTTAAAATTTACCCAAACTGGTAGTACTAAGATCAGTAGTACTAAGACAGTACAAATATTTTATAGGAATTATTTGGTTAGAACTGAGAAGCAAGCAGAAAAAAAATTTTTATTGATTTTTAGAGAAAGAGAGATAGAAACGGATGAGAGAGAACATCGACTGGCTGCTTCCTGCATGCCCCCCACTGGGGATCAGGCCCACAACATGGGCATGTGCCCTCACCGGGAATCGAACCGGGGACCTCTTTGGTGCATGGGTCAACGCTCAACCACTGAGCCACACCGGCCAGGCAGCCCTCTAGGGATTTTAACTGAGATCTTGGGAATTCATTGGGGTTCCTCCCTCTGGCAGGTTCATAACTCTAGTCTGTATCTTGTGAGACTGCCAAAACGTCTGCTCTGCTTTTCAAAGACTTTCCAATGAGGTTTTTAGCCTCCCATTCTGTAAAGCCTCAGGATTTGGCAAATATCCCAACAGGATAACTAGCTGTATGCTTGGGGCTCCCTTAGTTTCCTGTAAAAACTCGCTGGTTTTTTATCCCCAGCAGCAGCTCTGATTCTCAGACCTCTGCCCATGCCCAGTATCAGCAGAATCCCCCAGGGAAAAAGAGGCTATGAGTCAGCTCACCTCTCTGAGGTTCTTTTAGCTTACCTTTACCCCTAGGGTTCAGCTCTTCAGGGTCTCAGCCCAAAGCATGGTGTGACAAGTGTGCCAAGACCCACCCTTAGTAGGGACTGAACTAGATTTTTATCTGCCATAATATGACATAATATGACCTGTATTTCAGGTCATACATCTGAGGGCAATTGCAGTCACAAAACTAGGCTCATCTCTCTCGAATCTCATCCTCTCCCAGATCTTGATCAAGTAATATCTTGTTAGCTCCTAGAAGCAAATATATATGCTTCTAAAAATCATATATATATATATATATATATATATACACACACACACACGCACACACACACATATATACACACTTTAAAATATTTTTTCTGCTTGCTTCTTAGTTCTAATCAAATAATTCCTATGTATTATTAGTGCTGTTTTAGTACTACTGATCTTAGTACTAGCAGTTTTGGTAAGTTTTAAGAACATAATTCTCAAATGCAGAGAAACTACTTTTTTTTAAACCATTCTTATGGAAAAGATACACTTTAGGCTCAGAAAACATTTCCATTATTTGCAAGTTTTAGTAAAATAAGCATTAAATTATGCTAGAATTATGTTCTGTTTCCATTTCTTATCCATTAAAGTGAAATTAAAGTCTCCTGAGGATCACTGCTACTCTCTCATTCATAATTTTGCCTCCAAGCTGAGATCATTGTTTAGGAGTTAGGGATAACAGGTGATCAACAGTGTGATAAATAGTTTACCTGTGTTTAAAAATCATAGTCTGTCTCAGCTTACATAGCTTTCTTATTCTCCATTTATCTGTCTCTGTCTGTTTTCCTCTCCATATGGGTGTCAGGGGTCACATCTATTGTAGTGAAGATCATAAGCATTGGAATAAAAGATGTTCAGGTTTGAGTTCTACCTTTGCCATTCATTAGCTGTATAAGCTTGGGAAAGTTATTTAGCTTCTGTAAAATGAGGATTAATAATACGATGTGTCTCATCAAATGGTTGTGAGGATAAAATGAGTTCATGTATTAAAAGGTTAATAATATTGCATTGTATATTTGAAAGTTGCCAAGAGAGTAGATTTAAAAGTTATTACAAGAAAAGAAACTTGTAACTATGCATGGTCATGGATGTTAACTAGACTTATTGTGGTGATTATTTCACAATATAGATGGTCCCCAACTTATGATGGTTCAACCTAAGATTGTTCGACATTATGATTATGAAAGCAATGCCATCATAAATTATGAGATATTCAACACTTAAACTGGCTTTTTGTTAGATGATTTTTCCCAACTGTAGGCTAATAGAAGTGTTCTGAGTACGTTTAAGGTAGGCTAGGCTAAGCTATAATCTATAAAGTTCTGTAGGTTAGGTGTATTAAATGCATTTTTGATTTAATGATATTTTCCATTTACAATAGGTTTATCAGGATGTAACCCCATCGTAAGTTGAGGAGCATCTGTATATACAAATATCAAATTATTATGTGGTACACCTGAAACTAATATAATGCTATATGTCAATTTTATCTCAAAATTTTTTTTTTTTAAAGAAAGAGAGGTTTATTACAAGGAATTGGCTTACCCAATTGTGGGGGCTAGCTAGGCGAGTCCAAAATCTGTAGGATAGTTTGTCAGGAAGGGCATCTGGAACTTCCGGGCATGGGCTGAAATGGATCCACAGATAGCATCTCTTCTTCATTGGGGAAGCCTCAGCAATTCCCATAAGGCACTTCATCTAATTGAATAAAGCCCACCCAGTCTACCAGAACAATATCTCTTAAAGTCCATTGATTTTGGCCCTCGCCGGTTTTGCTCAGCGGTTAGAGCATGGGCCTGCGGTCCAGAGAGACCCGGGTTTGGTTCCCGCTGGGGGCACGTATCTTGGTTGTGGTTTGTCACTGGCCCTGGTTGGGTCGTGCGGGTGGCAGCCACTTGATGTGTCCCTTTCACGTTGATGTTTCTCTCTCTCTCTCTCTTCCTCTCTCCCCTTCCCACTCTATCTGAACAGAAAATGGAAAAATGTCCTCGGGTGAGGATAAAAAAA